GAGAGAGAGAGAGAGAGAGAGAGAGAGAGAGACTCTGTGTGTGTGTGAGAGAGAGAGAGAGAGAGAGAGAGAGAGAGAGAGAGAGAGAGAGAGAGAGAGAGAGAGCAATTAGCTGGTAGGGCAGTGGAATAATTCTCTCTCCGACATTCCTGGGAAAGGAAAAGAAAGACGTGGTGGGTCAGTGCCCTCATGAGCGGAAGCCTCAGCTGCGAAGTTGAAGGAGTTGACTACATCCATCGATCGATCACATGGCAGAGCTGGAGCAACTCATGATACCGGAAGTCATCAAGACGTGTATGGGGAGGTTTGAGAAAGGCAGAGGAAGCAAAGCAGACTCAGCAGAGCAGATTCTGAAGGAAGAGATTGGTGCATGCTATCTGATAGACGATGAAGGAACGAGGGTCCCACACTCCCAATGAAGGCGACAATTACATGGCTAATATCCACTCGGCCGCTCACCTCCCTAGCTGTAGCTGTCTGTTGTATTGCCCGATCTTCCTCTCATGCAGGGCTCGAGTCGTAAATCAAACTCACTACTCGGAGACCCGGAGTGGCAATCCACCAAGTAGTGAGCGGCAGTCTGTGTGGACTGCACTGTGTACATGCGTCCTTGTTTATATACTAGACTCAGCGAAACGGCGACGGGAGATGACGTTCTTCTTCCCTTTTTTTTTTGTTTTTTTTTTTGGTTGTTTGAAGGGGAAACTATGCGGGGAGCGGCGGGAGTCACAAAAACGAGTTATAATTGCACTATGGGCCAAGATACAGTTTGCAATTGCAGTTCGGGCAATGTATATTTTTTTATTTGCGGGGAGCGGCGGGAGTCACAAAAACGAGTTATGATTGCAGAATGGGCCAAGATACAGTTTGCAATTGCAGTTCGGGCAATGTATACAAACCAGCTTTCTGGCGAGGTACGGTGCCCCAAATGCAATTGCAGACTGTATCTTGCCGAATACTTCAAATTTTAACTCGTGTTTTTGTGACTCTACTGAAGTGTTACCCCTTTCTTGTACTTTTGCGGCATCCTCGGAGGGCATCCTTTTATTTTATTTATTTTTCATCCTACTGAAGGCTATAAGAGAGAGGCGAAAAAAAGAAAAAAAGGGGGACGGAACGGCACGCGACCTCAGCGGCGCTGGATCGCCTGCGTTGTTTTCGCGTGGCTGACGCTCAGAAGTTTTTTTTTCCACCATAGCTATCCAACCTTCGGCCCGGTGGGGCGAAGGTAACGATGAGAAGTTAACCCCAAAGCGTATGTTCCCGTGTTGGTAACTTCGCCATCTTGGAAACCACCTCCCCCTAGGCTTTCAGATCGCCATCAGTAACTTACCAGATTTACCAGATTTACCAGCGTGACGCTCCGGGGAGCGTCCCACTACAGTTCTTCACCCAAGTCAGGCAACTACGGCTGCAACTCACGAGTTCCTCTTTTCTGGAGTATCCGTCTGTCCTTTCAAGTGAAGCTTTCCTCTTCAGTTGGAGAAGTACTCGAGTACATTCTTGGACACAACGGCATCTTCATCGGTGAGACTTGCGTTTCGACAAATCGGCACAGAGACGGAAGCCCCGGTCTGCTGAAACTTAAATCCCTAATTTTTCCTCCC